AAGATAAAAATAAGGAAAGGAGGTGGGGCTGGGGTTGTGGCTCAGTGATAAAGTGCTCGCCTAGCATGCATGAGGCACTGGGTTTCATCCTCAGCACCACATAAATGTAAAATAAAGATATTGTGTCCACCTAAAACTTAAAAATAAATAATTTTTTAAAAAATAGAATAAGGAAAGGATAAGAGCAGACAGCTCATGGCAGGGAAGGCTAGGATAGCGAGCAAGCTCAGAAGAGGTGCTCATACTCAAATACAGTGCGACCACTGTCTAGAACAGACTTTAAAACCAGCTCCCTGGGAGGAGGCGAGCACTCATTTGTAGTATTTGCTAATTTCCATGGTGCACATATTCTTACCATCACTGACTTCAAACCACCAGTGTGAGGTCACTGGACAAGAAATTGGGAAGAAATGTGCTCATTCAGCTCTTGTGAGCTGCTCCTTCAACATACGGCTGCTTTACCCATGCACGTGGCAAAATGTCAGAAAGATAATCCCACAGACTGCCAAGGATATGGGGAAATGGTAATCCTTGTGCACTGCTGATAGGAATTTAAGCTGGCAAACACATTCTACACAGCAATCTGTCTGTGTTTAGTGAAAAAATAAAAATAAAAACAGTATGCTTTAGGACTCTGCAGACACTCTCCTCAGTATACCTCAGAAAAACTTTTACAACTGCCCGAAGCACCTTCTTCATGTGGCTTCCAGGCAGCCAGTCTCTCATTCACCAGGTGACCTTACACAGTTGGTGGCTTTAAATACCATCTGTAGTTTTATAATTCCCAAGTTTATATTCCTATCTCTGCCTACTCAACATCTACTCTCTGGTATATACTACGCAGCTCAAATATAACATGTTCAAAATGGAAACTTTCCCCATGTGAGCAAATGGCAAATCTCTCCTGTGTGTGCTCACTAGTGTCATTCCTTCTGGATTCTCCAAATGAAAACCGCTGATCTCATTCTTTTAAAAGTTCATGACATCATATTTATTGAGGAAATTCATCAATGCCATGAAAATCCTTACAAATCAATAGCAACTAGAGAATCCAGGAACCTCCTCCTACTGCTTCTACTTGGGCTTGTCTCCCTCTGACCCATCTCCTCTTTATTCTCAAGGTTACAATTAGGGACCTCTTGCTGAAGTACATCACAAACTGAAGAGAACTTAGCCAAATTGTGCAAGTCTTACTATCTGAATCAGTGCTACTCACTTCTGGTTGCACATTTTAATCATTTGGGTATCTTTTGCAAAATAAGCCCTAAAGACCTGATCAAATAGTCTGATTCACTGGTCTAATTTAGATTCATGCTATCTTATAAGTTAATTCTCTCTTCAGTTCTCCGCAGAAGATACTAACATGAAATTTTCAAACCCAGCTTATTACTATGTGGAGCGCTGCTCTCCAAGCCCTCCAAACATCACATAAGACAACCACTTTTAAAATTCTTCCTTATAAGCCTGGTCTGGTGGGACACACCTATAATCTCAGCTGCTCAGGAAGCTGAGGAAAGAAAATCACAAGTTCATAGATCAGCCTGGGCAACTTAGCAAAACCCTGTTTTTAAATAAAAGTTCATAAAAGGTCTTGGAATGTAGCTCAGTGCCAGAGTGTTTGCCAAGCAGTGACACAAATGCTAAGTTTTGGCTGGGCATGGTGGTGTGCACGCCATAATCCCAGTCATTTGGGAGGCTGAGACAGGAGGATCATGGGTTCAAAGCCAGTCTCAGCAACAGTGAGGCGCTAGGCAACTCAGTGAGATCCTGTCTTTAAATAAAATACAGAATAGGGCTGTGGGTGTGGCTCAGTGGTCAAATACCCCTGAGTTCAATCCCCAGTCCCACCACCCCCCAAAGAAAGAACTAAGTTTTGCATATCAGCCACCCATATTGTTAGCTTCCAAGACAGCAGTGGCACACAAAAACAGCATTGTGCCAATTTCTGTGAGTATATGAATTTCAAAGACCACCAGCCCCCACTGTTGCCTTCCACCATTGAAACTAACTCTAAAACCAAGCATCTAGATAGAACTATCATGGTATAGAAAAGTTGAAGCGTGAAGGAATATCATTAAAAACACCATCGAGATGCAGCCAGTCAAATTCAAAATGTGGAAGCTTCCACAAGACCAATAACCCATGCCTACAGCCAAAGAAGTAGCCAAGAAAGTCTGTTATAGATCAAAAGTGGGTTAAGAGCCCTATCTAGAGTGATATTGGCCAAAGTATATTGTTATATTGTTGTGTGCATGTACCAATATGTAACAACAAATCTCACCATTATATACAACTCTAATGTACCAATAAAAAAAAATGTGGAAGGAGCCGGACTCAGTGAGACCCTTTCTCTAAATAAAATACCCAATAGGGCTGGGGATGTGGCCCAGT